TGGTGGGCGTGAAGACGCCCACTCCCAAATCTGAGCGGGCAGCCAGTTGGAAGCAGTACAGCGTGTCGGGCTTCAGGTCCTCTAGAGTGTAGGAGGAGGTGGGGTCGAAGGTCACCTTGTGCTGGAAGAGCAGGGAGCACTCACTCATGGACCGCTCTGACCTTAAAAGTCACTCAGAGGTTGTTCCCCAATATGGCTACAGTGTGATGCCTCCAGACTCTCCAAAGCTCAGGACTGGCTCCACACCACAAGGCCATGTGGCCCACACCACAGGTGCCTCATGGGAACCACCTAGCACATGGGGGGAGCTTCAGGACTCTGCTGGTCATGTGAGCCAGAGTCCAGGACCCCTAAGGCCAACCCAGGGACTCTATGCCCAGCACAGGGTGATGAAGGGTACAGATGCATACAGGCCATATGAGGCAGGAAGCCCCAGGGAGAAACCCTACAGGTTGTGCCCACACAAGCCACAGAATCCAGAAAAGCTGCCTGGCCTTCTCTTGGGGTCCAGACCCAGAGCCCAGACTAGAGTCCAGCCCAGGGCCCAGCAGACCTGACCACCCACCTGGCCCAGCAGACCTGACCACCCGGCCTGGGTGAGCCCGCCAGAGACCCTCAGGCCCCAGGAGGCCCCTCCACCCTGCCCTGCTTCGTGGCTCACCTGCTGGCCTTCGTCCTCTGCTGCCCAATATACCAGCTCATACTTGACGATCCGCTCCTGCGGGGGCAGCAGCCACGAGAGCTGGATCCTGGTGTCTGACTCGGCCTCGGCCTGGAAGTCCGCGGGCTGCGCAGGCACTGCAACACCCCGTGCCACGCACCGTCAGCCTGGCCAGGGCCCCAGGGCAGGGGCACCAAGGGAGGAGGCAAGGAAAGGCAGCCCCTCACCCTCACACATCCACAGAACCTCAACTGAGGCACAAATACAGAACACAGAGCACATGCAGCCCGCGCACCCCCACCTACCTCCCTGCTGTGTCTTGACCTGGATGGTGGGGCTGGGCGGGCCGTCGCCCACGGCGGTGAAAGCGAGTACACGCAGGCTGTAGGTGATGCCAGGCAGCAGGCTGCCCACGGTGGTGAGGAGCCCTGCGTCTGTGTTGTGCTTGTGCCAGGCACTCAGGGGGCGGCGGGAGTCTGGGGTATAGTAGACACGGTAGCCCCGCACCAGGCCGTTGGGCTCCTCGGGTGGCTCCCACTGCACCAGCATGGTGCTGGCGCTCAGCATGCGTGCCTGCACACGGCGTGGTGGGCTGGAGGGCGCCTGCTCCCCTGTGCGCGCCCGCACCGCCTCACTGGGTGGCCCTCGCCCAATGCTGTTCACCGCCAACACGCGGAAGGCATACTCCGAGAAAGGGCTAAGGCCACCAATGCTGTAGCGGGTGGTGGCCACGCCATCCACCTCCTGGAAGGGGCCCTCTGTGCCTGCTGCACGGTACTGGATGCCATAGTAGGACACAGGCTCTGAGTTCCCAGAGTCCCAGGTCAGGGTGACACTGGTGGCAGTCGTCTCTGTCACCACAAGATCAATGGGAGGCTTTGGTAGAGCTGGGGAAAGAACGTTAGACTCAGGACTGCCTGAGGTCAAGACCCCAGGAGCCAGCCCTAACCTTGGGGACCATCCAAGGGTACCAGGTATGGTCATCAGAGTGTGGCTGACACCCGCAGCCCATTAAAGAATGGCCTGAAAAGCTTATGGTGACCTCTGAGGGCACTCTAGTGGGGGATAGTGGCCAAGCTTGTCAGTGCCCCTGGGGCCTTGGGGCATTTAGATATTAGGACTCACTGGATCCTCCTATCCACATAACTTATCTAACAGACAGACCTAGAGGTGACATGGCCTTCAAGGTCCCATGGAGATGGAACATACCCAGGCTGGGTAGCAGGTATCTGCCTGTGCAGTGCACAGCCTACCTGTGCCCACCTGATGGTGAGTATATGTGATGGGGCGTGGGAGGAGAAGATGCTTCTTAAAGAACTGGCCCTGGGTTCCAGAGTTTCAGGAGTAGTGGGGCTGCTGGCCCCACAGACCCTGTGGCTCAGCTCAAACTGAAGTGGAGAAATCCTGGATCCACAGACAACCATTCAACAAATAATTATCAAGCATACACTAAGTGCCAGGCAATGCACTGGGGCCAGGGCCACAACGCCACACGGTCACATTTCTGCTTATCACAGAGTGTATACCTCAGTTCAAGAGAGAATCAACAAACGAGCTGAAAATAATCATGATCCTGGCACGTGCAAGGACAGCAGGAAGCAGGGTGCTGAGACGGAGAAGAATCCACAGACTCTCCTTAGATGGGGTCGTCAGGGAAGGAAAGCCTCACAGAGCCAAGGCCTAGATGGGGACATGGAGCCAACGATGGGAGGGGCCGGCAAGGAGCGAGGCGAACAGAATAGCGTATGTCCGTGCAGCTGTGCGTGCTGAGGGCAGCAGGCGAGTGGCCCTGGGAGGCCACAGCAGGGAGTCACTGAAAGGTGTTTTTCCCTTTCTTAAAGGGAATGACATGGTCCTGATCCACATTTTAAAAAGATCGCTCAAGTTGCAACATGGAGGGTGAATCAGAGGCAGGTGAGAGTGACAGCAGGGAGACCAGGAAGGAATCAGTTACATATGTGTTACACACGTATGACATACATGGGCCTGTCCCCAGGGCCTGGGGAAGAAAGAACCTGCTTCTCCCCCTTGCTATTTTAACCACATCCTTCTTGCTAGTAGGCTGTTAAAGCGAGAGTCTGGCACTATGTAGTAGTTAAGGAGGCGGGTTGTGGATTCAGACCACCCAGCCAGCGTTCAAGGCCTTGCTCTGTCATTTAGTTCTGTGTGACCTGGACAAGTGATACAGCTTCTCTGTCTTGGCTCCCTCATTTGTAACATGGGGATAACATGAGCATCTGTCTTGCTTATGACACGAAGACTAAACAAAATAAACCATTCCTTCTAGCACAGTGTCTGCCGAGAAACTCAATACATGGTAGCTATTATCATTAAGGCCACTATGAACAGAAACCCTTCCATCCCTCCAAGGGCTGGTAGGACCTCAGGCTGGGGCACCTAGGAGAGGGCAGCAATCCATCAGCCATGCCTGTGCCCACAGCAGCCAGCTCATGCTCACCCTAGGATTTCCTGAAGTCCTCTGCAACAGGGAGGACAGAGGCTCCGTAAGCATCTGTCACACTCACCTTTCACTGTGACCTGGGCTGTGGCCTCGATCATGCCCAGTGAGGAGATGGCCACACAGGTGTAGTTGGCAGAACGCACGACATTGCTGAGCTCCAGCACGTTGCGGCCGACTGGCATCTCGTCCTCCTTGGTGAGCTCCTCGGCCCCCATCATCCACTTCACGTAGGGCATGGGTGCGCCCACTGCCACGCATGTCAGGTTCACACTGCCGCCTGGCATCACCTCCTGGCTGCTGGGAGGGATGGAGAAACGAGGAGCCACGCGGCGCACTGCGGGAGGAGGGAGAGAGGCACTCACAGGCCGGGCAGGACATGCAGTGCACAAAAGGGCAGGGGATCCTCATCCAGGAAGCCCCTCTTGTCAGAACCAAACCCACACTCAAAGATAGGAGGGGTGGCATCCCTGGGCCCCCGCTGGCCATCTCCCAACCCACTTTGGGGCTAGAAGTAGACCCCACACTCAGGGAATGTCTGGAATACAATGTCTTGCACAATGAGAGATCTTGCAACCAAGTTCCCATTTTACAGCCTAGGAAACTGAGGCCCAGAAGTCTCTCCTGTCTGCCTAGGGTCACATAGGGATTCAGCACAAGGTTTAGGCCTGGTCAGGACCACAACCCAGGTTGTCTTTCAGTGCCCACCCCTGTGTGCTCCTGACCGATCCCCCAGCAGGTTTCCAGGGGCACCAGTGAGAGAAATCCAGGCTCTAGGGCAGAGGTCCTTGGAGCAGGGCTGGGGCAGGGCCGCTGCAGTGGTCAGTCTAGGAATGACATAGCCACCTTGTGTGGAGTCACTACCTTCCACCCCCCGGCTGGGGCCTGAGGGGAACAGATGAGGAAAATGGCACGACCACCTGCTGGGGCCACAGCCATGCTCAAGGCACAGCTTGGGAACCAAAGAGGAGGGGCTGCCCTCAGGAGGGCTGAGTAGGGGCAAGGGGGTGGGCGGGCCAGGGTCACGTGGTCCGCGGGCAGGATGGGCATGACGATGGTAGTAACATGATGAGGGCGCTGAACAGACGGCTCTCTGTGCCAGTGAGCAAGGGTCATAAGAGAGAGGGTGGCTGTGCCTGGCCACAACCTCCTGCCTTGGACGACCCTGGCCAAAAGCCGTTCTGGACTTAGCCCAGGGTACAGCCTAGAACCAACCCCCCTCTGAAGTTGCAAGCTTGGCACAGGCACATATGCATGCAGAGGGAGGGAAGGCAGATAAGACCTAGCTACAGGCAGGCATGCTTGGAGTGCAGACGGGGCATGCAGGTGGTGGGCAGAGGCTGAGGTGTGTCCTACATGGGCACCTTTACACACAGGGCTGGAGAAGCCAGGCATTGAGGATAAGGTACCCAAGGGTACAACTGAGGGTACTGGTCTCTGAGGACTCTTGCTGGGGAGCCCAGGCATGCAGAGGACCCATGGCAACACACCAGGAACACCCCACTATGGTGCTCACACAGTCTCAAATCACAGAATCAGAGCTGGATGCAACTGCAGAGACTACCCAGTCCAACCTCTGACCTCCCTGTATGGGGTCAAAAACAAGGCTCAGAGATAAGACATTCAGCAACTCACCAAGTCCTGTTAATGCTGTTGCCTAATATATCTTTCAAACCCACTTATTTCTCTCCAAACACATGGCAACTACCACCACTGAAGTCCAAGCCACCACACCTTTCCCTCAGTAACTGCAAAGGGTTCTTCACTGGTCCTCTGCCCCCTGCCTCCACTCCTGTTACCCAGCCTTCCACAAATAGCTGGTACAAACCTCATCACATCACTTACCTGCTTAACAAGCTCCTACATGGCTCCCCAGTGGCACCTGAACCCCGCCTACAAGACCCTCCTTTCCTTAGCACTTGCTCCAACTCCTTCCACAGCCTGCCTTACTCCAGGTCCTCCAGACAGAACCCAAATGCTGGCAGTCCCTGCAGCAGGCCAGGCATGACTGGTGCCATGGGCTGGGTCTGTGTCCCCAGGCTCACTGAGGGCATCAGAGTATCTTGTGGAGATCCAGTGTTCTACCTTCTAGAATCAACACCCTCATTTTCTTTAGGGGAATCACTTCTAGCCCCACTCTTGGTAAGGGGTGTGTGTGTGTGTGACCCAGATCTGGCTAACAAGAAACAGCCTTCAGACTTTTGCAAAAACTACTAGAAAAGCAACTTTCCATCTCTACTAGGATAGCTAAGCTTCGAGGGGCTAGAGACCACTTTTCCCAACACACAGGATAAGCTGCTTGAGAACAAAGCCAACAAGAGAGGAGAGCAAAGCTAAGGACTAAGACAGACAAATGCCCAGCCAAACTATTCAAATGCCTGCATCTAGCCCTGCCCAATACCAAAGCTACTTCTGTATTTTTTATTCTTGTAATACAAGGGTTTCCTTGTTTTGCTTACACTAGTTATGAGTGGGTTTCTATCATCTGTTCTAATGCCAGGATTCTACACTGATGATGACAGAATGTCACAGACACAGTAGTTCTCATGCAGAGAACAGGTAGATCCTGGGGGCGTGGTTGGCAAGTGCCCCACGGCAACAAGGGACTCTCTGAGTACTCCCCCCCACATGGCACAAGGTAAGGCTAGGAGGCACAGACAGGACCGCTGCCCAGCCTGGTTGTGTGGGCATGCCCTGGCTCCCGAGATAGGCCTGGGGTGCAGGGGATGGGCAGACAGGCACAGACAGGTAGGTCTGTCTGCAGGCCAGGCCCAGACCTGCCAAGAAAAGGAGGGGCCCACCACAGAGGAACAGTCTTAACTGACCAGATCTCTCCTGTCCTCTCAGCCGATGGGTGCCTCAACTCCTCCTCATTCATGGGCATCAAAATAGGTTAAGGAAGGGAAACCATTCTTAAGCACCTACCAGGTCCTTCAGGAACTAACACTAAGAATAGCTTTTATTTTTCCCCTCCTCGATGCGGGAGGCAGAGAAAACTCTAGGGACTAGGGATGAGTGTGAGAGGTCAGATGCGACTGTGACCCTTGGGGTCATCCAAAACACCAGGCACTGACCCCGAAGACTCACAGGTGTACTGCATTCACCCTTTCACAAGGACACAGGGCTTCAGCCACATGCAAAGAACCCTGGAGCTCAGTTTCCTGCAGCTCAGACACATCTTCCTCATGACATGAGGGAGTCAGGGTACATCTATAGAAGAAGGGTGGGCGGAAGAGAGGCAAGGGAGGACCTCCTGGTACTCTGAGTGCCAACAGGGCGCCATGTCCTAGACCTGCCTGGACAGCACCCACCTCCAGCCATGAACAGGCAGCAGTGGCTGGTGCCTCTCTGCAGCAGCCCCAACCTTCCTCCTCCCGCTGCTACAGGCACAAGGCCTCCAAAAGCAGCAGCACTCAGTCTGGACTCAGTCTATTGACAGAAGCAACAGCAGGGAAGGAAAAACTAGAGCTGGGAAAAATGCACTTAGGGTCTAATCTCGGGCTCCAACAATGCCGGTCTATTACTGTTCCCCGTGCATCCTTAGTGCTGACATTTTATAGACAATTTCCAAAACAGGGCCCTGCCATTTCTGGATTATATTTCAGCTGTAACTTTTAAGTCTAATTATTTGCGCTGACAACCCCCTATAATAGGGCGGTGCAGAGCCCAGAGGCATCAGCATTCAATGGAGTGACAGCCTAATCGCAGGGGGAGGCAGCCCCGCAATCTGCATTCACTCCCGGAAATTTCTCTGATGAAAATAACACAACATTAAGGAGGGGATGAGGGGCAGGATCCACTGTATCAAGATAAAATAACTCTTTAATAAATAACCTCGTGGCTGCCGCAGAGCAGTAATTAAATGCCGGCGCACCAGGCACACAGTTTTAAGTAAAGCTGGAAAAATGTAAGATGCAATTATCAGCACCAAACAAATTACCAGCCCGGCAAATCCCCCCCGGAATATTTAGAAACTCATTTCTGCCTTCCCGTTAAATATTTGTGTATGTGCTCATTTTTGGTGGGACCACAGGATAGGGGTGGGGTGGGGGAAGAGAAGGGATAAGGCACCAGGCAGGTGGGGGAAGGGGTGTGAGGGGAACGGCTGCGGGCAGGGCTGTCTCTGCTGATGACTGTCTTCTGGACCCTGGCAGATGCGCCTGGTCAGCGAAATGGTGTAACTGAAATGCCTCAGAGCTCAGGAGTGCATATGGACGAATGCTCAGGCTGATATGTGAGCCCAGGCTGCAGCCCTCCTCCTGCCTGGCCCCCTCTCCCTCTTGGAGGAAACTCGAGCCACAGAAGATGAAGCACAGGGAACCAGGTAGCCTGGGCCTGCTCCCTATGGCTCAGCCTGTCCTACGCTTCTGCCCTGAATCCCCAAAGCCCAGTGGACAGGTGAGCCTCCTCTGACCCCTCAGACCATGTGATACAATAATGGCCGCTAGCCCCAGCTGCAGGCCCCAGCTTTGGGGTTGGGGGTGTGGCTTCAAGGTTGAGGCTAAAAACCAAGTCCCAAATGGGACTGCTCTGGAATCGGCTTGAGGGAATTCTCTAGGAAGCTCTTCCCAATCTGCAGCTGACCCACGAGCCACTTCTAGGCTCCCACATGGGCCTTGTTAAGTTGCAGCTGACTGTTCAGTCAGTCTAGGTATAAGTAACTAGGGCCTGAATGCCCAGCAATGGGCTATGGAATGTGAGCTGGCTGGCAGCCCAAGTGAAATCCACCCTCAGAAAGACCTGGGAGCTGGCTGGGAGTCTCAGGCAGAGGGGCCTTGGGCAGGTAGGAAGACCTTAATTTAGATCTGACTGGAGAGGAGAAAGGCAACAGTGTAGGAGACGTCCTCAGTGGGCCAAGGTGACACCACTCACCCTGGTGCCATGGACACCAAGCTCCTTGAGGCAGACAGGACCTGGTTACCCCATTTATCCCTGGTGGGGACTTGGGGTGCCTCTGAGACAGGGCAGATACTGCAAGACTTTTGTCCTGTGCTGCAGAGGGAACAGTCTGGAGGGAACAGTCCACTCTAGATTAGCCTTCTCTCTTAATCTTCCAGTGGTTTTGGCCGAGCTTGGGCAAACATGGTCTCTAAATGATGGGGGTTGTAAAAGGCCCCACAGGTGCACAGAAAGCACTACAGCTCTTACACTTCTCTTTGACCATAGCTCCCCAACCATTCCTGAGCTCCACCTAGAACAGACAGCTAGCCTGCCCCGGGCACAAAGGTGGGGTGCAGTTTCATGCCATGCACCATGCCTGCCCAACCGCCCCTGTAGGGAAGCCCGGCTACATGGACATGCAGACACGTGGTACATCAGGGACCCAAGCAGCAGAAACATGCAGGGCAGGGGGGCCTGCCCACCCACCCCTGGTCCTGCCTGCCCACCAGCTCAAACAACAAAGACTGGCAGGCAGGCATGGCTGGAGCAAGCCTGAGGGAGCTGACCAAGCCCGCTGGTCCCTACTGACGGGCACATCCCATCGACGGGCGAACTGTAGATGGATAAGAAGTGAAAAGGACCAACCTTCTCGCTGATCTGAGAGATGAGAGTTTGGGTTGATGGCAGAGTGCGATGAGGATGAGGAGGGAATAAAAAAAAGACAAGGAGAAACACAGAGAGAGTAAAAACAGGCCAACCTTCATCTGCCCACACAGCACGGAGACGAGACAAGACTCCTGTGCCCCCTCGCACACACACGTGCACACAGGTGCACACGGACCACGCCGCTCACAAAAGACTCAGGACTCATGGAGGACACAGTGGACAGGGCTGGGGCCCCACAGCAGGTGCCAGGAAGGCCGAGGGCAGGACCAGGAGGGCTGGAAGTGGGGCAATGGCAGGCCCCCATGCCTCACACGCACCCCATGGCTCAAACAGACCCGGTGGACTGGGCTGTGGGGTCAGGGTTCACACAGCCCACAAACCCACCAAGGTACACGAGCCACTAGAACCCCACCACCTTGAGGAAGCCCCACACCGTACAACACAGTGTGAGGAGCACGTCTGGGCACCTGTGGGAGAAAGGCCAGGAGGCACCGTCCTCATTTTAGATGGCTATGGCCCAGCAGCCAGGTCCCTATAGAGAAGAGGGAAGGTTGGGGGTTCTGGTGCAGGTAGGCCAGGCTCCATCGAGGGCAGGCTCCACCCTGGCCCCAGCAGCTGTACACCCTGAGAGCTGTGGATGGAAGGAGAGAATGAGTCACTCAGGGAGGGATTCAGACGGTGACAGAGAAAGAGGCTAGCCCACCCAGCCTGCCTGGGCCTGCTAGACTGTGGGTGGAGCTGCAGGCAACTGTGAACAAAGTCAGATGAAACTGGATGACGCATCCCTCCACGGTGCCGTGCGGACAGTGCAGTGGCTATGATTATCAAGTGCCTCCCCTGTGCCCGGCACCGTGCTGGTGCTTTACACATACTGTTCCATTAAACACAGCTGTTGCATGTCCTCAGAGAGGTGACGGGAGCCCTGAGAGTCGGGAGGACAGAAGAGGGATGTGAAGTAGACACTGAAGCCAAGTCAGATGAGGAGATGAGACCTCGGGGCCAGTGGATGCAAAGGGAGAAGGAGAGTCAGAGACAGACAGTGACACTGGCAGTGGGAGCCTGTCATCCAGAGCACTGGTTCTCACCTGGGCTATGTGCCCGCAGGCGACAGGTAGAAATGTCTGGAGACACTTTTGGTTCTCTAAGTTGGTTTGACTAGGGGGTGCTACTGGCATCTAGAGGACTAGGGATACTGCTACGCATCTTAAAACACACAGAACACCCCCCCACAACTAAGAATCACTAGTCTAAAATGTCACTAGCGCTGAGGTTAAGAAACCCTGACACCAAGTTGGATGCTGAGGCTCAGGCCCTGACACAGTTGGAACCCAGAGGGGGGTCCCCCACCTCTGGAGGGAACAGGAGCCTGCTACGGAAGGAAGCCTCAAAGCTGCTCTACGGGTGATGGGTGGGGCCCAGGCCAGCAGGCAGGCTGGCACTGGGGTTCCACCACGGTTGTCCACCCATGAGCGGGGCTCAGGATACAACAAAGCTGGTGGCCAGCCCTGCAAAGGCTGTCCCAGAGGAGCTGAGGCTGAAGGGCCCTTAGCACTGTTGGTGGCAGAAGGCAAAGCATTTGCCAGGCATGAGATGAAGGGGTGGGGATGGGGCCTTTCAGGTGTGCAGAAGCTTAGCTAGTGAGACACTAGGGCCTGTCCTGGGCCTATAGAGCAGATTGCTCTTAGCACAGCAAGATGTCCTGGTCCTCAGACATCAGGGCCCACAGGAATGTATGCATGTGTGTGACAACAGAAGCCAGGGTGGCTGTTACAGTCCCCTGCAAGTGTGGCTAGAACTAAAGGAACCTCACCACTTTTCCTGCCAAAAGCCATGTGAGAATGGTGCCAGGAAAGTGGATTCATGAAGAGCTGGTGGGTGTGGGGGAATGGGCCGTGGCAGGAGCCAGTCAGGGTCCTACCCAAGTCCACCATATGGAGACAGTGAGACCCATAGATAAGGATCCTCCAAGGGAATAGAGGTAAGATCTCCCTGGTCAGTGCCTGAACTGCCAGCTACAGCAGATGAGCTCAGCTTGTCTCCAAGAGACCCACTGCCTGCAGGTCTACCTAGGAAATATGCCCAAACGGCCATGCCCATGAAGTTTGGCTGGAGTTTACAGTGGCTCTGCTCGGCCTCTCCTCTCTCTGGCGCAGCCACATGCAGGTAAAGGCTGTGTGTGTGCTGAGGCCCAAAACTGCCACACTCTCAGCCCAAGAGTCTTTTGGAAGCAGTGCTCAGTCCAGAGAGCACAGCATTTGGGATGGCCGAGGTGGGAGGAGGCAGGTCTCTGAGAAGGTCATTTCAGCTGCTCCTCTCTTGGAGTGAACTCGTCAGCCCTGGGCCTGTCCGACACTCTGCCTGGAGCAGCACCGGGTGAGGGCTGTGTTGTTTACAAATCCACTCCTCTCAGTCATTTGTGAGGTTCCAGGGCTCCTGGCCTCCCTATTCTGATGCTGTTTCTGAAGACAGGCCCCAGGTCAATTCAGCTGAGCCTGGGTAAGCCAGACACCTGATGACAAGGCGGGGGTGGTGGTGGGGGGACTTCCCCATCCCATGCCTCTAACTCCTCCCAGGAAGCATCGTCAATTGTCTCTGAAGCACAATTTGGCCGTCACAAATAGCTCCTCTAGTGCTAGACTGGTCACCAAATGGGCTAGCAGCCCCTGGAATCTCTGGAGCTACCCTGTGCCCTGACGCACAGCAGCCCCTGGATAAGTGTGTGTTGGTCGACCACTTAATTCTGTCTGTCCTGACGAAGTATGTCTGACCACATGGCCCTGAAGAGAGTGACAGGCCACTGCTATTACCCTGCCCTGTGTGATGGGTGGACAGTCAGATGACACCCCTCACGAAGCCACACTAAGCACTTAGCGTGATGAAATCATCACTGCAAGGAAGTCGCATCCACTTTCCTTTACAAATCCCCTGGGAAGAGACGGTTTAAGTTTTAATGACATCCATCTGTGTAGGAGGGCTAAGTGAAGGGACAGTGAGAACAGGAGGGGCTCCCAGGCCCCTCCCCCAACTGGCACAGTGCACACCTGACCCCAGCATGTTCTCAGGAAGGGGTGAGGTGGCCAGCTTTGCTTATCCTTGGGTTGTGAACACAGCAGAGACTGGATACCCCCAATCAGTCCCCAGATCCTCTCTGCTGGATATTTGGACTTCTGAAAAGCATACAATCCACTCAGTCCCCAGCAAGGAAATCCTGGAACACAGTAAGTGCTCACCCAAGGCAACAAACCCACAGGGGCTTACAGCTGAACACAAGGGTTCTGTCTGGTGATAGAGCACAGCTGGCTCCTCCAGGAAGGCCCCAGGCAAACCTGGCCAGAGGACAGGCTCACCTGGCCTGGTCCATTCCTGAGGGCTGACTGTCAGAGTGGTCCTGAAGCCCACTGTGCTGGGGCAGGCAGAGGATGTACTAGAGGAAGGCAAGGCCAGGTGTGTACACATTTACACACAATGTGTGTGCCTACACGTGCACGCGCAGACATACACACACATATACAATGAGAAATTGGCTTGAAAGGCTCCAAACTCCCGTGGGGTTCTGGGCCCATGCAGCAGGACCTACAAGAAATACAAACACTCCCAAGAGTGGCTGCTTCCCTAAGGGCCTGAAAGGAAGGAAGGCAAAGTAGTAGCGGGCGCCAGGAGTCTGCCCAGTGGGAGCTGCTGCTGCTGCTGCTATCACTGCTGCAGAAAGAGGCGAGAAGGAGGAGAGACTGGGCCTGGTGTCGGCACCAAGGGCTCCGGGAGCATCCCCAGCAGGTGCAGCTCAGCTCCACAGTGACAGGTGTCAGGCACTGCCTGAGTCCTTACCTCGCACATACAGGTTCGCAGGGGCCGAGTAGCGTGTGCCTGCTGAGTTGGTTGCCACACACTCGTACTTGCCTTGGTCCGACTCCTCGCTGCTCTCAATCTGCAAGGCACCTGTATGGACACAAAGGAAGAGGTCAGGCAAGGCCCACGTCGAGTGTGGCCTGAACATGAGGAGGGTTCTTAATAGCAACTGTGGCTTATGTTGACCAGAAGTTGCAGCTCATCGAGGCCACACCCCGACGCTGCTTCCAGGAAGCTCTCCTAATAGGCCCAATGGCCTCCTAGAACCCATGGTTATGCTTGGAGCACAATCCCATGCCACCCTGTAGTCTGGTTAGGCCTATCTTTGCTCTACCAGGGGTTGTACCCCAGCCCCCAACTCCACTGAGTGTCTCCCACACTCTCGCCAGTACTGCAGCCTCTTTGCCAGTGAACATCGCCATAATGTTCGGCCCCACAGCTTCACCAGACAACGCAGAGCTAGGTGTGGGGGCGGCCTGAAACTCCCAAGCACGCCATGCCCTCATCGGGCAAGAGTCTGAGAATCTGCCGCCCACCAGGAAGGAAGGGGCTTGCCCTGGGGGCTTGGTGCCCAGCAGCCTCTGCTCCCAGCACCCATCCTCCCCTTCTACTCTACCCCCACTCTGCCAGCCCCACCCATTCCGGCTCCTCTCCTCAGCCTGGTCCCGCTAAAGTGCTTCGACCCACCACGGCTCCTGCATAATTCAGGAGGCTAATGGAGGCTGTAGCTCCCACTCAGGCCAGTGCCCTGAGGGGCTGCTCTGGCCGCAGACGGACAGACAGGAGCCAGGATTAGGGGGTGGGCAGCAAAAGGACCCTTACAGAGGGTGGAGGAAACCTGGGCTTGGGGCCAGTTCTGGCAGGTCCCGGTAAGGGAACCCAAGGCGAAGGGGCAGGTGGGAGCACTTGGCTTGGCCTGCTCCCAGCCCCAGCGACAGACACTTGAAAAAAACTGCTTGTGAAAGCACACTGGGCAAGCTGTCTGTGACAGTCACACCCCCAGGCACAGGCAACACGCCCCTGCCTGGAACAATCCGACAGACAATTAAACCCACACAGGACGGTCCAACTGACAGTTAATAACCCCCACAGGACAGGCTGACAGAGAACCACCTCCTGCACGGAACAGTGGCCTGACCCTTACCGTCCCCACCCCACCCAGGGCCCAGGCTGACTGACAATCACACCCACACAGGACACAGACAGAACCTGCCGGGCCCCACCTGACTGGACAGGAGCCAGAGGAAGAGTTCTGAGCCACGCTCCCACAGCCCAGGCCCAGGGGTGGGCCCTTCCCCGCCTGGCATCCCTCTTCCACCACCTAACCCAGGGAAGCAGGAGGGCTGTGAATGCCCGGGGGCTAGGAGCTGAGGGTAAAGGAAGAGGTGAAGCCACCAATGTGGAAGGACGAAGGGCTGCCCTGTCTCCGCGGTCTTGGCCTCAGCCCTCCCCACTGGGCACCAGGGAGTGCCAGGGCCAAGTGCACATGCCAAATACCCATCTCCTGCGAGAACAGTCCTGATGGGCACTCAATAGGCCATGTTTATGGGATGGATGGACACTGTTACAGAAAATGTTCATTCAAGCAAGTGGGGGTCAGGCCCCTGACTGGTGGGGTCTGCCCTAAGTTCAGCTTGGCAGGGGAAAGGGAGACCTAGTGGCTGGTGCCACAGGCTGGGACCAGAAAGTGGTGCCTGGGTAGGATTTCTGCCTGTAGGAATAGAAGACTCTCTTGCAACCAGAGCCTAAGGCCGGTCAGGGGACCCAACACAGACCCTATGACTATCTGTACACTGACCCTCCCCCAAATCTGGAACCAACACCAAGACCCAGCAGAAGGGGCAGGAGAGAGTCAGCACAGGCTGAGTGGGTAGGTGGGGAGATCGGAGGGATGCCGGGTGAAGTGAGTCCTGTCCTCAGGGAGACAGCTGCTCTTCAAGGCCCCATCTTCTATCCTGAGCCTGCCCTGGCCCTGAACTCTGAGGGCCTAGAAATGCCCACACAGACACCAAGAGGGGTGGAGAGAAAATGATGTGAATAAAAACAGAAACCACCATTTTACAGGGCATCTGCTCTGTGCCAGACATTGTACACATCCTCCCCTTCCCCTCATGACCCTGTGGGGTGGGTGGCCCTGCTCCAACTTAAAGAGGAGGAAACACTTCTGAGAGATTAATCAGTTTCTGCAGATCACACAGGTGGTGAGTCAAACTTCAACCCGGATCTTTCTGAGTCCAGAGTCTGTGTTTTAACCTCCAGGCTGCAGGGCCCTGCTGCGTAAAAGCAGGCTGGCGGGACTCCAGGCAAACAGGTCAGGTGCTGTAGGTAGGCACAAGCATGTTTATTTCCCTGTTGTCACCCGAGCACTTAACAGGAAGTCTTAAGTGAATGTTCCTCCCAGCCCTTGCTGGGCTGAAGGGATTTAGGGGATGACCCTCAGTCCACTACAGCACAAAGCCAGGGGACTAAAGGGAAGGCCAAGTGATAATGTCCCCAAGAAAAAGGACGCTCTGAGGAAGAAAGGCAAGGCCTGGTCATGCTCCCCAACCTCACAGGAAGATCCCCATCCACAGCAGCCTGGGGACAGGCTGAGCTGCACTGCGGGAACCAACAGGGTCCCTTCTCTGGGTGGGTCTGGAAGGCCTGGGCAGCAGGGCTCGCCCATCCCGGGCGGGGCTCGGCAAGTTATCTCCACAGCTCAGACTTGCAATGAATGAGTCCACAGGAGGGGATGACGCAGAGTGGATGTGTGTGGCGGCCGGTGGTACTGGGGGCCGGAGCTGGAGATGAGGAGGCTGGAGAGGTCGGTATGGGGATGGGGAGGTGACGGACTGGACGGGATGAAGTGGAGGTGACGGCAGTGGCGTGGCGTGGCGTGATGCACGGACAGCATTCTTACCTCTGATTGGTGAACCACCTGGCGAGGTAATTTGAATGCAAATAAGATCAGAGAGAAGCATTAGTACAAAAGGAAAGAAAGCCACACAAAGCCAAATCAGATAAAATAAAACATGAGGAAGGGCCTTAGATACGTGGAGAAACTGAGGCCTGAGTTAGGCCAACGCAGGTGACGTGTGAGCAGGTGCCAGGCAGAGCCAGGCTGAGTGTGCGTGAAGCTGTGTCCCAGACCGCTGGCACTGCTGGGGCAGGGGTAGGGTGCTGGGAATCAGGAAGGTGAGACACAGCTCCTGCAGACCCACTGGCTGGGGCCAACAGAGTGGGAAGGTGAAGAAAAAGAGGTAGCAACCCCACCCTACAGGGCCAACCAAATCCCACCAGTGGGCAAGACTCCAAAATGAGGCACTTACCAAAACAAAGCAGGGCATTAAAGCAGACAAGGGAGAGGTTAAAGGGAGGGCTTGCCAGGGGCTACCACCAGACCCGGTCTCCCATAACAAACAGCGCAGTCTGCAGGGGAGTTGGTGGCAGCACGAGGTGAACTCACAACAACCACTGGCAGGGTCCCTATAAAGCCCACTCAACTCTGCTAAACGAGGTCTACTGCGCTTCCCCTTGGCCTGACTGGCGAGGGGCAGAAGGCAGTGCCCACCCTTGCCTGTTAAGCACCTCATGACCCTAGGGATTGGCAGCCCAGAGGGCCACGTGCTCATCCTCCAAATCCAGGCCTATTATGAGATCTGAGCAGGTTCCTTTCCCAACAGGTACCTCCTCTGAGGCTCAGGCCTCCTGTGCAACCACTGCCTCACCCAGAGGAGTGAGGAGCCCACCGGTGGGCCCAGCTCCAGTTCTATCCGCCCCCTTCTGGGGGGTGGGAAGTGTGCAGAGAGACCAACACTGATCACTGTCTCATCAACTTGACACCACCACCTGGAAGAATTCTCCATCTCTATGTACAAATAAGGAGACAGAGGATGAGAAGCATGTGGAGACTTGCCCAAAGCCCAAGGTCACAGAACTACATGCAAGGTGGCAGGATTGGACCAGGCTTGTCCATCCCACAGTTTCCCAGTGGCCACGGCTGCTAGTCCTGTGCTGCAGAGGGTGGGGAGAAGGCCAAGGGCCCTGGTGGAGTGTGGAGAATCTGGGAAGAATCAGCACGGTGATTCTCCAAGTGTGATCTGGAACGTTGAGGGGTTCCTGAGACCCTTTCAGGAGGCCCACAAGGTCAAAATTATTTCCATTATACTACAAAATTATTTGCCTTATTGTCTCCCAGGAACATAAAGTGGAGTTTTCCAGAGGATCCATGACGCTTGACACCACCACAGGCCAGATGCAGAAGCAGATATGAGAAGCCTTCTGCTAAGCCCCAAATTAAAGAGCTTTATAAAAATATAAAAGTGTTATTCCTCTCACTAAATTTTTTTATTTCAAAAACACATTTTTTATTTTAAAATGTTATTTATGTTAATACATAATGAGTTTCTTAATTACTTTTAAATAGATGAATAGATATTTAAAATCTCCCCAGCCTTAATATCTAATTGATAGGTAGAACACACACGAACAAAAACTCTTTGAGGTCCTCTGGTATTTACAATTAGAGGTCCTGAGACCAACAAGTTGACAGTGGCTGAACTTCTCCTGCAGTCTAGGCCAGGGCCTAGGGAGGAGTGGTGGCGGCAATACACATGGTCCAGGACTGGGACCCCTGGCTCCTGCCCTCACCTCTTCCAAAACACATCTCTGGCCCTCACAGAACAGTAATTCACTCACTAAACTAAGAAGAATTTGCCTTTTCCATTTTACAAGATGGGTGTGGGGGACTGAGGGGACCCAGGAGTCAGCATCCCCCAGGGGTGTGACTGTGTCTGTCCGAGAAGTGCCAAGAAGCTCAGGGCCATATGGAAACTGTGACCATATACTGACAGCATGCCCTCCTGGCAGACCGGCTGGCAGTGGAGCAGAGCGGGGTAGGCTGGCTCTTCCAGTCAGACCCGGGGCCAGCCCGCTATGTCGGGGGCTGCAGGCCCTCTGTGTCCCCACTGCTGAGGCCAGTAGGCCTCCTCCCACAGCCAGATGCTGCCATCTCTTCTTGAGACCCCCGAGTCTCGGACTCAGGTGTGCAGGGGGGAGGCAGAAGAGACTGCTCCCTGGATGAGCACATGGATACAGTGAGTTAGGCTGTCCCCTACCAGGCCAGGGATGGCAGTTCACAAACTCAAGCCACAGCAGGAGCACAGGAACCCTCCGCAGGGCCCCATGCAGGCTGGGTAGAGATTACAGGCCCACGACTCCTCTCAGGACCCAGCAGCAGCTTCGAGCCCCACTTGGAGGTTAGCTCCTGCTTGCTGCATGACGCTGCCTGCTCATAACTCCATTTTCACTCTCTCCAAGCTTATTCTTGTTCCTGTTGGGCCCGTCCAGTCTCAAGTTCTAATTCTCCAGAAGGCTGTTGTGGCAGCATGTCATGTCATGGCAGTGAGGGCTGCCGGGCAGAGCTCACAGCTGGGCAGCACATGCTGCCAGCTGCCTCCTGTCCAGCTCCTGCTCTGGGGGCCATGCCCTAGTTAGACGTGCTGTGGTTCAGTCACAGATGCCAGAGGAGTTCTGAGTCGTGGGGTCTGGAGAGGCTGGCACGTGCAGCTCTGAAGCCCAAGTGGGGTCCAGTTGTTTCTCAGGCCCCCTAGGTATGACGTATATGATACTAGAAGGCCCTGGCATGACCACATAGGGGAGCTCCCAGGCCCAGAGTCTCCATGAGTGACCCCAAGTGACTCCCTTAACTCAGCTATGAAGTGGGCACGATAATCACAATCTGTCCTATTTCACAGGATTGCAGGAGAATCAGCTGCAACAAAAGGCAGAAAAGTACTTTGTAAACTGTCGGTGATGCGTAAACTGTGAAGGTCCCTGTAAACAGCCAAGTGCTCGGGGGCTTAAATCCATTCCATGAAAGACTGCCCTGTAAATGTGTGTGGAACAGCCTCAGAACCCTTCTAGACAGTAATGAATAGGGCCGCTACTGGGGCCTGGTAGGCAGGGTCAGGCAGGGACTGGGGAGAGGATCCTACTCTTATTGCAGAGAGGGGGATGGCTGAGGTCCCCTAGGTGCCATCTGGCTCCATCACAACAGCCAGACCCAAGGCCCATGACCCTTATCACAGCTTTCAGGTGGCAAGAAAGGTCAAACAAAGAGGTCTTCCTTGGACCTAGGAAGCAGGAAGAGGAGTGAACATCAGTGCTAACATGATCCACAGGGACAAGTCCCAAAGGTCAAGTTCATGAAATCATTCTATTCACCAAGGGCTTAGCGAGAGCTGTCCTACAGCTGGGCTTGGGAAGACCTCACCCAAGTAGAGTCAGACCCAGGCCCTCCCTGCAAGGAGTGCCAGCCTAGGAAAGCAGAATTGGAGCCCTATGGTGACAAGGTAAAGCAGGATGAGTGCTGAAGAAGTAGCAAGAGGTGGAGATGGGTGGAGGCTTCCAAGTGAAAGAACCAGAGGAAAGTGGAAGGCCAGGAGGTAGGCAAGGATGTGTCATGGGGCTCAGTGTGAGTTGGGGAGTGGCAGGAAATAGGAAGAGCTCTATCCATGGAGCCCTTACCAAAGGCCAGCAGTAAACTCGAGCACCAAATGCTATTGTCTCACCCTTTCCTATAACTTCTTTTCAAAGATGAGGAAACTGACACTCAAAGAAGTTATATAACTGAGACCAGAGAGCCAGTAAGTGGTACAGCCGAGACACGATGAGATAAAGTTGGAGACGTGGGCAGGGGATGACCAAGAAAGGCTCCACACACCTTATTCAGGATCAGGCACTTGACCAGGTAGGCCAGGAGACACCACTGAGATGACTGGAGCATGGGAGGGACACAAGCAGAAAACTGACAGCTGCTGGGGGACAGATTCTTGGGGAGAGCCTGGAGGCAGGAAGAACAGTGTTTGATGCCCAGGATAGGACCAAGGCAGTAGAAGGACAGAAGGGGACCAATATGAGAGCCACATAGGTGACAAATCAAGAGGACTTGGTTCCTTACTAGAGTAGGAGTTGAGGTGTCTCCCAGGTTTCAGGCTGGAGGGGCAGCCACTCAAGGACAGAGGGTCAAGCCAGAGAATGGCACAACTGCTTGGGAAAAAGGTCATCATTCACTTTGGTCAGGGTGATAGCCAGAAGGCAGATCGATTTCTGGGGCGAGAGCTCAGGCAGGATGTTTGGGCTGGAAAGACCAAAGTAGGAGCTGCAGGCGACACCTGCGGCTCTAGTAGGGGGTGAGCTCGCCCGGGGCAAGGCTGTCCCTGTGGGGCAATGGCAGGGCTCCCAAAGAGGGAATTCAGGAGAGGCAGAGCCCTGAAAGGCCAGGGAGAAGTGGAAGGGAGGGTTGAGGAGGAGGGAGGAATGTAGGCTGCCACTGAGAGGACAAGGAGGATGAGGCCCAAGCAGTATCCAGTGGCGTGATGGGCAGGGAAAGGGTGGCACAGAGCCGGGCACACAGCAAGTGCTACATAAATACTAGATGAACGAATGCATGCAAAAGCCTTCCCAGAACTGCTGCCAGACAGTCTTTGCCGATCCAGGGAGGTGTCCGGCCTGCAGGGAGCATTGTCTGGCTGCTTGGGGAGCTGCTAGGGGGGGCAGGGGGGGACACGACTGTGAGGGGAGCAGACCATGCCGGCTGCTGTGCAGTGGCTACAAACACTGCCGGACCGTTTCCTGCCTTGATTATGGCTGTTTTAATTAACTGCGCTACAGCTGCCTCCATCTTGTTGAGTTTTAATTAAATTAAATGAGCTAACACTTCGTGGGCTGTCTCAGGCGGCCGTGGTTGGGGCCGGAATCCTGCCCTGCTGGGCGGCTCCTTTCCCCCTCCTGCTCCTGGCGGTGTCTGCCTGGCAGGAGTTGCCGTAGAGGGCTGGCACCCCAGGAAGGGGAAGGGCACCTCTGAAGCCGCCAGGATACAGAAAGGAGCAAGAGTCCCATCATCCTCTGCAGTGTTGCTATCGCAGCAGACAGCGCTGGCCAACCTGCCCGAAGCCCACCATCCCATCACTAGCTGGAGGGTTTCTGGAGCTAGGTCTGTTGGTCCAGGCCATGCTGGCACAGATGTAGGATGCAGCCAAGCTGATTCCGACCCTCCTTTCCCGCTTGCTCTGTTCCCACAAAAACTGAATCAATTATCCTGGCGGGAGCCTCACAGGCAGATCGATCAACGGGGCGACGCCTCACGCCAGGTCCGATAGCATCCTTGTGCCCAGGGCTTCCAGCTGGCTCAACTGACACACTCAGAGGAGATAGGTGGCCAAGGGACAGCAGCAAGTCCCCCGGGCTCCAGGCCCCCAAGGTCCAGCCTTTTGAAGCCTGATGAATTAGGCATCTTTGGCCTCTTTCCCCAGCTAAGCCCTGCCATCCTAAGAAGCAAAGAGAAGCATCATCTGGGTCTGTCTCAGGCCAAAGCACAGGGAAGGAGGAGGATGACCATCCACAGAGCACCTTCACAAAGCGTGCCACGCTGGGCGTGTCACATGTGCTTCAAGGAGCAGGACTGGCTCAAAGTCAGGAGTGTGACAATCCCGGGAATCTAAAGGCACAGTTGACAACCAGCTCTTGCCACCACCCTCTCTTCCCTGAGCTGGACAGACCTGTAGTAAGATCCAGCCCACCCCTCTGAGGCCCTCTACTTAGCCCTGGAGGGTCAGCCCCAGGCACCTTGGTCCAAAAGGGTAGGCTGTGCTGGGATCTGGCAAGACGCCTTTTTTGAGGTCTGCTTGGCCCCTTGACCCTTGCTCTCTGCTCACCTGAACGCAGCTGCTTGATGCGGCCGTTGCTAGTGGCAGGGTCCACAGGGAGGAAGTCCTTGAACCAAGAAATCTCAGGGTCTGGATTTCCACCTGCGGCACAGAGCATGGTGGCCGTACGCGCCTTCTCCACCACCTTCAGCTGAGGCCCCATGTCGATAGAAGGGAACCCGGGGGGCAGCTGTTCTTCTGCAAAAAAAAAAAAAGCAGGTATGTGCGTTAGGGCTGGCCCCGCCTGCCCACTAGGACCCCTCTGTAACTTTCCCTGACTCCCAGGTGGGCTGGGGCCCCAAGACTCTTCCCCTACCCATCCCTGACTTCTAAGCATGTGAGAAATCTAGGTCCTGCGTCCCTTTGGCAGGACCCACCCCTACCCTGTCAGGGAGCTTCCAGGTCTGAGAAGCAGCACTTCAGACTGAAGGCGTCAGCATTTATCTCTCTAGGCCCTAAGGAGGAGGAAGAGGATCGATCCTC